CTATGTAAGTGCATCTACGATCGTGACATCCATCGAGCTATCGTTCGAAGTGCTCGACTCGTTGATCAGTTTTACATTTGTCCTCACTTCTCCATTGACCTCTCACTCTTCATTTGTAGGCGGATAAATCACTGTCACGTTTAACCCCATTTTTTTGTTTCATATAACTTCCCAGGTGAACTTTCACGATTGGCACAATACGAGATAATCGATAACGAAAATTTCACAATGTTCAAGTTATATTCACGGAAATGAAGTATACTGTATTGAACTAATTGTTAAATTTACATTGTGCAATGATATAAATTTCTTTCTGATATTGACGCAACAACAAATTTGCGGAAATTTACACTCAGATTTTTATATTACGTATTTTACATGATATATCGCGTTTAAATTCCGGACATTTTTTTCGGATTTCTTCTTTGTCACTTTTCTTATATGATAAATATGAATGGCACGCTGTGAAAAAAAATACTTGGAAATTTATTTGTGGGATATAAAGTTTATTCATGCGGAAATAAATTTTATATTACACAAATAAATTTTGAAATACCTTTCCTCAGTAAACATTCGTATATTAAGGAAAAATACTTGAAAATTTATTTATGGGATATAAATTTATTTCTATAAAACGATGTTTGTTTTTATGAAATAAACACTGTATTCCACAAATAAATTTTCAAGTATGTTTTTCTCAGTGTAAGGAATATTTTTACACATAGACGATTGTAAAGATTGTAATACTGCCAGACATGTATATACATCTGTCCATTTGGGACAGTACGAAGTTAAAGAATATTTCGAATTTCAACTCGTATCGAAGGCGTGATCTAAGACGTGCGAAGTGATATTATCGTAGAAAAAAGCCAACTTACTTCATCATTACATCACCGCTTGCGTCAAGCTTTGATCACTGAAACAAACGCCTCCTACGCCATCGTAATTTCCTTGACAGAACGATTAAGTATCCTCCTCTTCTCCGTGAACCTTCTTCGCAATTTCCGACGCGCAGTTTAACAGCGAGACCGATTCAATTCCTGAAGTTAATGCAACTCGACGTAGGTCGCGGTATACGTTAAGCCGCAACGTCGAAATCGATGTATCCAAGAACAAACACTTCGAATAAATATCCGAGAGTACACATCGCGATATGCGCGCGTTGGTATTTCGAAAAGTCAATATAGCTTACCTCACAGCCCTTCGAGATAGGGTCGGTAAACTGTTTCCAATAACAACCTAAGACTCTACGCGTGGTTTAACGATTTTTTTGTCGATGTCAGGAGAACGCAAAAAGCGATTTCGAAGAAACTTGAAAGAAATATTTCAGATTATTCATAATATTTATTTTCTCTAAATTTTGAATGAGATTTCACGCAAAATTAATGAAAATATTCATTCGATTCGGCGAAGAATCCATTCTGAATCCAATCTATGAATGAATTAAATCACTCGAATTTGTATAACTTAACTGTCACTCAACTTTTGAAATGAGGAGGGTGATTCCGCTCCGAGAAATTTAGAAACTAACGTATATGAACATAATTTATTGTTGTTTTGCATGTGTTCGCTGTCGTATTGAGATCTTTGAGAAAATGTTTAATTCAACTTTTGCTCGAAGATAACTCGGCAATGTTCAAAACATATATAATATTATATAAGTTCAATCTAATGTAATATTAAAACATAATATACAACACACGCATAACGAGAGCAAATATTACTGTATAATTTACAGATGTGTACCCTCGAAATCTGACCAACCTATTTATAAGTTGAGGATTCACATACAGTTCGCGCAACACCCTCGCGAGTGCATATGTGCCTCGTGTTCGTCGAGGGGAGGGAAATCGCCGCAATCCTTGATAATCGACTGCGGCCGCGTTATCCGGGCGATTTCAGGCCACGCGGTGCAATTCTGTCCCGACCGGCCAGCCTGCATTAACCGAGAAACATCTCCGCGCGGTCGATGCCGCGTGACATCCAGCGGCAATTGCCGATTGCCTTCTATAGCTTTCAGCCCTCTATTTTCTCACCCTCACTCGCTGCGACTCCGTGCCGCGATCCGGATGACGCGTCCTGACCGCCGCATACCGCGTCGCATTATTGCTCGCTGCACTCTCGCGAACGAATTCCCGTGGTAGGGATGTGCGATTTATGAAATTGTGTGTATCGCGATACGATCTTTCTTAAGAGTCGCAATGAATGCGATATATCGCATCATAATTTTATGTTGCAAATGTGATTTTAAATCGCGCACGATTTTATATCGCAAATGCGACTTTCAATCGCACGCAACTTTATACCGCGGTTTTTAATCGTAAGGGGACCTGGCGCATGATGGGAGCCGTAATGTTTAAATAAATGTTAAACATATTAAAAATAAATAAATCAATTCTCTTTGTACTGAATCAAAACACAAGTTTTACTGCAAAAGAATAGTTATAAATGAAAGCATAATGAAGTTAAGTGATGTTTTCTTAAAAACATTACTTAATCTCATTATGATTTTCATTAAGAGCACTCCTATATTATTGATGTTTTCAATGAAAACACTTTCATTTTATTACTCACTGATTTTGATCAGTGAAAATAAAAGAATGTAGCTAAATTATGTCTCTTTTTTATTGGATTGTAAAATTGTGAATATTCTAATAAATCATATATTCTAAATTTAAAGCAAATACAATATAAAATCTCAATATTATTCTATTATATATTATATATTATATATTCTATATATTATTCTATTATATATTATATATTATATATTCTATATTATATATTCTATATATTCTATATATCCTATATATATTATTATGTATTATATATTAAATATACTTTATATTAGTATATTAGTATCGTTTAAGAAACAAACGGTTTAAACGATTGCAATTTCGACAAACAGTCATGCTATTGAAATTGCAACTTTTTGGACCGTTTGTCTCCCAAACGACACTACAAAAATAATATTGAGATTTTATGTCTTTAATCTATTCGTTTTAAGCTTCAAATTGATGTATCATTTCTTGAAATATTCAAAGTATTGCAAAATCCCATGGATAATGGGCGAAACTTGATCTTTTTGCCTAATAATGTCATCGAATTTTTATCAGAACCTGACATATAACTGATATAAACCAATTTACTTTAATTAAAATGTTGCAAATTTCAATAAAAAAACATGATTTGGAATATTGAAAATATCGAAAAATTTTACATTGCACACTCTGATGTAAAGTGCAACCAACTCGTGGCATAATCATGCATTCTGCGCCGATGACTACCGACGATCGCCTTTCTTGTTCTTTCGCCGTGTAGTCCCTGGTGCTCGGATTTCCTCGAAGGAGGGACCCGGAATCGGGTATACGCTCTTTAAAACCATGAACTCCAACTCCCGAAAATGAGATTCGCGGAAGAGGATCTTTAAATGTTGCTCGCTCACGCAACGCAATACGAAATGTGGATACACTGCTGAACTTAAAACTGCTTTTCGTCGTGGCGATGTTAAAATTGCGATGCGGCGAAGAGACGGAAAGTTTTTACGAAACTTCACGTTAATTAGCGGTTGCCGAATGCGGCGCGCGGATTCGCAACGACTCGTTAAAAGTTGAGAACGAACGCCGCTGGCGCAAACAGGTCCGACGTTTTCTCCAATAAGAGATCAATTGCGAACTTGACGAAAAATTCGCCTTTATCTTCCGCTTTCTTGGACTTTTTTGAAAGCGGAAGCGATCAAAATCGCAAATGACGGCTCGGTGGCTCAATATTTATTGCAATTGCATTGCTGTTGTTGCAACGCCCCGTATAGAAAATTCCGTGGGATCTAAACCCGGATTTAGTCCAATTGTCGGAGAAAATTATGGACCTCGGTTGAGAAATCTACGCAGAATCGGGTTAAGAGTGCAGTGTTTCGACAAAGCGATTCTAAGTGGAAAATCCGAGGATATTTCGCCACTTGATCCGCCAAGCAAAATTTCCACAAAGTTCTTTTTTCTGTTTCTTATTTCATATAAATTCTTTTAATTTTACTGTGCTTTCTAATAATTTAGAAACAGATTGTTTGTAAAGCTCTTATCTTTTGCTAAGAAACATAGTAAATGTTATTATAAAGAGCATAGTAAATATTGAGAT